CCTATTGTTATTGTGGTTAGTTATCATTTTATTAGAAACTCTTATTTTTTACCTCAAAACTAATTTAAGTATCGAGAGGACTAAGTCGAACACCCTTCCCACCCCTTAGAACTTTCATTACACCCTTAGAATTAACTAGTCATTCACCTTTTTATTCAAACATTGAATAGTATCTTCAATTTATTTATTATGGAATTATATAATTATTGATGGAATAGATATTTATCCTCAATCATAACTTGACATATAGCAGCATAGTCAGCAAAAGAGAGTGGACCACAGCCAATAATGCAACTATACAAGATAGGCTAAAAAAATTTAAAAAAAATATTTTTATGTATATCATAAAATATTTTCTTAGGCCAAGCCAACGATAAAAGCCCATCAACCTATTGTTATTGAGACTAGTTTTCATTTTACTAGAAACTCTCGTTTTTTATCTCAAAACTAATTTAAGCATCGGGAGAACTAAGTCCAATACCCTCCCCACAACCCCTTAGAACTTTCATTATGCCCTTAGAATTAACTAATCATTCACTTTTTTATTCAAATATGGAATCACATCTTTTATTCCTTTGTTATGAAATTATATAATTGTTGATGGAGGAGATATTTGTCCTCAATTGACATATAGCAATATAGTCAACAAAAGAGAGTAGACTCCAGCCAATAATTCAGCTATACAAGAATGGCCAAAAAATTTTAAAATAATATTTTTAGCTATATCATAGAATATTTTCTTGGGCCAAGCCCACCATAAAAGTCCATCAACCAATTGTTATTGAGGTTAGTTATCATTTTATTAGAAACTCTCATTTTTTTACTTCGAAACTAATTTAAGTATCAGGAAGACTGAGTCGAACACCCTCCCTATACCCTCTCAGAATTTTCATTACGCCCTTAAAATTAACTAGTTGTTCACCCTTTTATTCAAACATCGAATAGTATTTTCTATTCATTTATTATGGAATTATATAATTATTGATGGAGGAGATATTTATCCTCAATCATATTAGGACAAACAGCAACATAGTTAGCAAAAGAGAGTGGACCCCAACCAATAATGCAGTTATATAAAAAATTTTAAAAAAATATTTTGACCTATATCATAAAATATTTCCTTAGGCCAAGCCCACCATAAAAGCCCATCAATCAATTGTTATTGGGGTTAGTTGTCATTTTATTATAAACTCTCATTTTTAACCTCAAAACTAATTTAAGCATCAAGAGAACTAAGTCCGACACCCTCCCCATACCCCCTTAGAATTTTCATTATATCGTTAGAATTAACTAATCGTTCACTTTTTTATTCAAACATAGAACAATATCTTCTATTCTTTTATGGTGAAATTATATAATTATTGATGGAGGAGATTTTATCCTCAATCAAAGCTGCAGCATAGTCAGCAAAAGAGAGTGGACCCCAACTAATAATGCAGCTATACAAGATAGGCTAATTTTTTTTAAAAAATATCTTTATCTATATCATAGAATATTTTCTTGGGCCAAGCCCACCATAAAAGCTCATCCACGTATTGTTATTGAGATTAGTTATCATTTTATTAGAAACTCTCATTTTTTACCTTAAAACTAATTTAAGTATCGGGAGAACTAAGTCGAACACCCTTCCCACCCCCTATAACTTTCATTACACCCTTAGAATTAACTAGTCGTTCACTTTTTTATTTAAATATGAAATAGTATCTTCTATTTATTTATTATGGAATTATATAATTATTGATAGAAGAGATATTTATCCTCAATCATAACTTGACATATAGCAACATAGTCAACAAAAGAGAGTGGAACCCCAGCCAATAATACAACTATACAAGATAGGCTAAAAAAAATTATATATATATATATATCATAAAATATTTCCTTAGTGCAAGCCAACCATAAAAGCCCATCAACCTATTGTTATTATTGAGATTAGTTTTCATTTTACTAGAAACTCTCGTTTTTTACCTCAAAACTAATTTAAGCATCGGGAGAAATAAATCCAATACCCTCCCCACAACCCCTTAGAACTTTCATTATGCCCTTAGAATTAACTAATCATTTACTTTTTTATTCAAATATGGAATCACATCTTTTATTCCTTTTTTATGAAATTATATAATTGTTGATGAAGGAGATATTTGTTCTCAATCGACATATAGCAATATAGTCAACAAAAAAGAGTAGACCCCAGCATAATTCAGCTATACAAGATTGGCTAAAAAAAATTTAAAATAATATTTTTATCTATATCATAGAATATTTTCTTGGGCCAAAAGCTTATCAACCTATTATTATTAAGGTAAGTTATCATTTTACTAGAAATTCTCTTTTTTTTACCTCAAAACTAATTTAAGCGTTGGGAGGACTAAGTCGGACATCATTTCTACCCCCTTAGAACTTTCACTATGCTCTTAGAATTAACTAATCGTTCACTTTTTTATTCAAACATGAAATAATATCTTCTATTCCTTAACTATGAAATTATATAATTATTGATGGAGGAGATATTTATCCTCAATCATAGCTCGACATATAGCAACATAGTTAACAAAAGAGAATAGACCCCAACCAATAATGCAGCTATAAAAAAATTAAAAAATATTTTTACCTATGTCATAGAAGATTTTATTAGTCTAAGCCCATCAACTTATTGTTATTAAGGTTAGTTATTATTTTACTAGAAACTCTTATTTTTTTACCTCAAAATTAATTTAAGCATCGGAGGGATTAAGTCGGACACCATCCCCATCCCTCCCTTTACCTTAGTTTTTTTATAAGTTGATCATTTGACGGAAATTGAGCCATCTTTTTCACCATGTTAGATTTCTTATACAAATGGACTCAAATTAAGTTGAGCTTATTTGGATGTCACTGACATGTGTATTTAAAATTTTGAGAAATCATCAATTCTATATGAAAAAATAGATACTATTTTTGACACTACCACTATTCTTTTTTACAATCACTATCTCGTATTTAAAACATATCATTTCTATACAGTTTCAACTTTTGGGATGGATTATATGTATCTTTTATCTTCGTTAACATCTATCAAAAATTATATATTCAGTTAAATAAAAAATATTAAAATTTTATTTATAGTTTATATTAAAATTTTCTTAAGTATTCCTCTACGTCTCCTCTTATCATAATTATAAAATAATTTAAAAAAAGAAATGAACAATTTGTTGCACCCAATACTCTTAATACCAAGCAAGATAATTTTATTTAAATAAATGAATCAATTTAAGCATTTTTAGAAGCTAAAAAAAGCTGTGACCTACGTGTCAATAGGATGGATTTAGGTAGTTCTATTACTACTTTATCAAAGAACACTACTTTTCGTTTTAACAAGCAAGAGAAAAATAATAATCAAAGCAAGGAAGTAAGTGGTTTGCATTGATCACTATCCTTCGAAATATATCATCGAGTAAAAGTATAGCTCACATGAAAAGTTAAGCTTCCATTTGAGTCGCACTTTGACTACTATTTTTCTTTAGAATGCGTTGTAGCTGCCTATAAAAAAGATTGTCATGTCATCAAGAGATGGAAATAGAAGTTAATCATGCTTTTGTTGGCTTACTATAAGATTTGAGCCCCACTAATCCGCCACTAATCCACCAAAATTTAGCACATCTTCAAGATGTCTCTTCAAAATGTCATGGAGGAAATTAAGGCCTTCAAGAGAATTATCTTTTATTTTAGCTGGTTTAAATGATGCGGAGATATCTCATCGAAGCCCTCAAAACTACTCAAACCTATATGGATCATAGATAAGATGTAGAAATAGATAAGCTTGCAATTAATAATCTTGTCTCATCCTTGTACAACTAATAAGAAGCTACATATTCAATTATATGTGATAGAGATAACTTTTTAAGGTTTTAATTTTCATTATAATTTTCATCATAATAACCTAACAACTAATCAAAACACCTTAGGTTCTATATATGGAAGCATACTAGGAGATGGATCCACCATCATGCATAGATAGGCAGGCTTGCAATACATACCCCTATCCTAACTATAGGAAAAATGAGTATTACAATATTAATTACACTTTATGTTAAAAAGATTAATTAGGAGAGTCTTAATAAAATCAGAAGTCCTACTAAATTATGATGGGATATGATCTTAATATGTATAACTTATGGTAATATAGCTGAGATTGAGAGAAAGATGGTGATAAATCAATTTTTGTTTAATAATTATTCTACATGTCTTCCTTTAATAATTATTGAGACATACCATTCTTCAAAAATCTTTTGATATATTTCCCTATTTTATATGTGGCCTTAAATAAAGTATTGAAGAAAAAATAAAGTTGATTAAAGTTAAGTTTAATAATCCAAGCCATCAAGATAAAGTAGATACAGTGAGTTAAGTGAAAACTAAATCAACTAAGAAGATATTACAAAATATTCATGTGTAAGATAAAAGATAAAACTAAAATAATACTAATAATAATCAATCTTATATTATTAAAAACCAAACAAAGATATTATCTTTATTGAATTTGGTATCATTAGTTCAAACTTTTAGATTGGGACAATATCCTGTCTGCATTAATTTCTTCTAGCCTTGGAGTTTGATTGATACTCCAAATACTCAATAAAAAATTCTAAGTTTTTTTAGATTTAGAATTCTGAAATAGCAAATTCTATGTTGTTTTTAGCAAAATGACATCTTTCTCTCTCTCTCTCTCTCTCTCTGTCCTCTTTTAGCTATTTCTATTATCTGCTTCGCCCCTTCTTTTCATTCGAAAGAAAACAGGAACACAAGTCTCTAGCAGCAATATCCTCTATCTAATCTTGGACAATCAATTTGCCACCAACGAAATAATCTTTAAAGAATTTTATCTGCAATTTTGCGCCGAAACAGTTGATTTCGGAGGAATTTAACACGCAAATCATCATCTGCTAGATTTGTGACAGTTCCTGCAAATCTCCAGCTCCCATGAACACCCGCAGCCAAAAATCCTTGTCGCCGCTGTCAGATGCACCGAGCAGGTCCAACTGCTCACCGATGGAGGGCGAAGGAGGGATCGCTAGTCCTGTAAAGCTCACGGAAGCCGCACGGTCATCCATCGACCACTCCTCCAACCAAAAGCTTTCATCAATCTCCGAGAATTTCTCCGAGCAAAAGCTTCCCTCTTTGCCACCGTCGCTGATCTCTCCCGACTCCGTCGATGAGTCTGTGGCACAGGATGAGAAGTCGCAAGGTGATTGTTCTGGTGACACGCTCATAAATCTGCATCCTGTGTTCTCCGAGCCTGTGTCCGGTGGCATGGTTGTAATAGGCTCCGATGACTTCTTTTTCGTCTTCTTCTTTACTGGTGTGGATGGCATGCTGGGGCTGACGAGCTTCTTCAAGTGGGTGTGCCACACGTTCTTGATCTCGTTATCAGTTCTGCCAGGTAGCTTCGTGGCAATCGCAGACCATCTATTGACAAGAGAAACATTAATCACCGCAGGAGATCTTGGTGATGAAGCACAGAAATCTTTCTATGACGATCTCTCTTATGGATGATGGAGGGAGCTTGTCTAGCTACCTGTTCCCGTAGTCCTCATGCAATCTAATGATCGTCTCCTCTTCTTCCTTGGTGAAGTTGCCTCGTTTGATGTCAGGTCGCAGGTAGTTCACCCACCGGAGTCTGCAGCTCTTCCCACACCTCAGAAGCCCTGAGAGGTAACACAGAAGAGAAGCTTACTTACTCCAAGATTTGTTGGGATAGACGGTAGACAGTAAAGCAAGTGACCAAACTCCATTCTTCAAATGCTTCTTCTTACTCACCGGCTTGTTTCGGCAGAGCTCGCCAGTTCCCATGACCGTGCTGCCGGATGTAAGCTACTAAAATCTGGTCCTCCTCCGGAGTCCATGACCCCCTCTTCAGCCCCATCTTCTCGCAGCAAGGTGCTCTCACCATGTTGCCCGGAGACTCCTCCTCCCTTCCTTCCTTCCTTCCTTCCCTGTCTCTCTCCTTCTCTTCCTTTTCTTCTCTCACCAATTCAACAGGCTTTGCCGGAGAGCACGAGGCCTCTTCATACCCCACTGCAGCTATTTATACAATGACAACAAATTGCCAACGTGAGAAAAGATCGGTGTATGACGATGCCACTTCTGCAGCTTCCAGGAAAGAGAGGCAGATGTGAACCGTCTTGTCCCAAGATTTGTCCACCTTACATACATCTAATCATATGCGTAGCCACCATGCGAGTAATATGAATAGACAAAGGCATGTCTCTTTCTTGCCATACTAGTCATGGAATTGACTCACGGATTGTTAGATTGCGACAGTAAGTCCCGGGAAATCCAAGCCACCATCTGACGAACATTTCTCATGTTCATGCATCTTCTCTGAACAACATTTCTCAAAGTTTGTATTTCTCAAAGCATGATTCAATCTGATGGGTGGCAAGTCGATATAGTCCTGACTAATTAATTTGAGCCTTGTCAAGCAAAACATTTTGAGAAAATACTATAAATTATTATACATGTCGCTGTAAGATAACCAATCGACTTGGCTAGTCTAATCAACTTTGTATCTTACTTTGGCCCACATAGAAAACTGTTCTGTCTTCTTTTCATATCACAAAATAATATATGGTAAAAGATTTCGGCTGAAATCTTAGTGCTAGAAAATCCATGCTGCATATTTTATGTCTTTTTTATGATCTCCGAGGCAGCTATGCGTAGTAGCAAACAAAAGAACTTATCCTGGTGGGAAGGGGCTTCTGCCACGTGGGTCATTCCATTATATTATACACCTTATAAACCTCACACGATGGTCAAATGTTCATACTGTGATAGTTCTGAATTGGCATCAGTACGGCGGCTTACTGTTGCTAATATTAACGAAAACCATAATTAACATCCGATGAATGATAATGATGCATGATTTTTTTATAATTATTCTGCAAATTAACTCCTATTTTAATTCAACGATTCCTAACTACTTACGTCATCTTTGACTATGTATAAGAAAAATATTATTTTTTTATCATTCTTAAATACTCTATATTATTATTGACTTGAGCATTCGAGGGGTATTTTGTTACGTAAGTTCGTATGATTATATTTTATTTTAGTTAAATTGGTCCGACAATCAAAATCTAAGATAACTATTTTTTTTTCTTTGATAATTAGATAATCAATATTTCAATAATGAAAACATTTGCTTGTTGTCAAAGCAAAGACCCCAAAAGTAAAAAATCAAAACCTAAGACAGCGATAGCATTTGCTTGTTGTCATCATCATCAATGACCAAGTAAGCCTACTTAACTAAGAATTTTCTTTACATAAATGGATATAATATTAATTTGTGGTGGAGATTGCTCATCAGTGTCGTTCTTGGCAACTCGTGCTTCCAAAGTCTCTCCGTAGACCCACCCAGCGTCGGGCGTCAGATGAACGCCGATACGTCAATTCATTGCACCTCACGTATGGTCGACAAAAGCTAGCAGCACTCGACGGCTATGATTCACTCGCAAACCTATCACAGTCTGATTTCTGATGAGGAATACGAATTCTGAGAAAAATATTTCGGTAATTGCGCGCGTGCAAGTACGACTGCACGTTCAAGCGGTCAACTGCACGTGGGGTTTCTTTATCCGGTCTTTGCCTTCACGTTTGGCTGAGCTCTAATTCATTTATTAGAGGAAGAATGGCCATTATGGTCAAACAATTCAAGTCACTTGGCGACAAATCAATACAACAAAAGCCTCCACAGTCGCCTGTTTTAGTCAAACCTGTATTATGGATTGTTGACTGATATCTGTACGAAACCAATGGATCAGTAGTAATGGATGACTTCGTTGAACAAAAAGGAAAGGGAGCCATCATCATTTCATTTGCGAAAGTTGACTATTAAGAAATGATGCGCAGTCTACGTGTGATGAGGGATTTTGACTAAGTATTCCTTTATTTTTATGATTTTATTGGATGAAGAATAGCCATTTAATGTAAATGTTATCGCATTACGCTTCATAGAATGATTAATACGATGAAATCATGATTTTGCATGTGTTGGTAATGGTCATGAATTCACATTGGAGTACCTATGGAATTAGGATGGCAATGTGTTGGTAGGCAAATTGGGTAGCTTTTTTTCTTTGTGAAAAGATCATGAACTTGCATTATGTGATATTAATCCATAGCCAATATTTTTTAGTTACTTAGTAAATAATTATGCATTTCCACTCCATGTTTCTTGCTTTGGTTGATATCGAGTTGCATCGTCTACATATAACATAGAAAAGATTATCGATGACAATATTTTAGGATCAAATCTCATCGTGACTTCACATGTTAGTCACTATCTTCGATATAGTCATGCGATCAGCAATGCAGCATTTTTCGAAAGCTATAAAAGTTATAATATAATAGATTGCAACCATCTAATTTGTACATCTCGATCAATTGGAAACTTTGGTTTTTAGAATATCACATGGGCCAAATTTCTCTTGCATTAATAATCATCAATCACATATTTAATTTCCTCATAATCGTAAGCTAAAAATAATATAACAAAATAAAATATTCAATTATTTACACATAAAATAAAATCGATAATTAACTTAGTTCTTTGTGGGATTATTTTGTATTTGAAAATACGAAGATGTTATTAGCTTTACACACTAATGTATTAAAAATTGGTGTAGTTATTTAGGGGAACATAATTCATAAGCGAATGACCATAATATTTGAATATAATGATAACATAAATAAACAAACTATGTTTTGGTGTTTGGTAGATTCTACTCAAGAATTTAGCACGGACTTGGTTTTAGATAATGGAAATATTTGCTCCATCGTTGTAAGTTCTCCAAAATTTTCTTTTGTAGTGGCTGTTTTCTTGGATCATTGAATACAAATTCCATGTTCATGTTTTGTAAATTACTTTGTTGACGTGATCTTAATAAAATCTATTTTTCTACGGGACAAAAGGTGCAATCATGATATTAACTCATAAAACAACATAACCAAGACTTAGGTACATTAAGATTAAAGGCAGGCAAACATGGCAATCCAATATTTAAATACTTGTTAGTATTTAAATAAATGTCATGTTTAAGATTTTATGCTGCAAAAACTAGCAATACATTGCAAAATTGTGATTAGAGATTTTAGAGATTCATATCAAAGGAGAATATGTTTGGGTATGTTAATAACATTCACTATTTTGAATAGCAACGCCAAATGAGACCAGTTATTCTTTAACCACATGTTTTAACATCAAGTTGTAAAGACTATATATATATATATATATATATACACACACACCATTTATATATATATATACACACACACCATTTGTCGATAACTGATAGTTAATTAGGGAAAATTACATTCTTAGAAATATATTTTCAAGCTTGAAGTTAATTATTTTAAAACATATTCAATACAACTAGAATGATATTTGAAAAAGGTAGAACGATATTTTTATAAATCATATACGCATTTAATAGATTTTTTTTTTTTTGCAAAGAGTATATGGTGAACTTTGCTAACAATAATCAAAGTCTTTACAAGTTGAGTTCACTTTCATATTCTATTAAATATATGATTAATTATGAAGTCACCTTACACAATTACTTATCTTTCAAAGTTAATTAATTTTATAAAATTAATAATGCCGTTACAACGAGATGATCTACCAACACAGCTCGTAAAAATGTACTTTGGCCATCCTCCTTCTATTTTATAAGAAACATCTACAATATGAACAATTCGAATTAAGGTGATTCCAAAACCTAAAGCCACTTATGGGTTCAAATATGGACAACACAATGAACTATTGATGAAGTTAATTTAGCAAAGATGAAAGTTCTAAAGTTAGGCAAGACGTGGCGGTAAGAAAAAATGAGTGGAATCACCTCAGTTGTTTTATATAATGGAGACTCATTTATTGTATTAATAAGGGCATCTAAATTACAGTATAGTTAGGAACTTAGGATAGAAAAAGGTTTGATAAAAAATAAGCAACAAAACAATATTTCTCTTTAACTACGTGAGAATATATATATATAATGGAGAGAATAAAACACTAAATCAAAACACACATGCCTCTTAATATCTTAACTTGCATGTCACAATATCGATAAGAATTAAATTGGATAAAGTTTTTTATCATGCTTATTCTTATAATGTCTGTTCCAGTATCTCGTATTTTTGATAATTACATCCAATCTTGATAGACAAAATGTGCAAGAGATATACCTCTTCTAAAAGGTTTTCTATGAAAATAATATATTTTTTTTGTGAGGCACACAACGATATTCCAAGAAGAGTTGTGAAGAAGAAAGGATGGCTATTACCAGCTCAAGAAAATATTCATTCAAAAATCAATCAACACCGTATTAAAAGGATATGCTCATTTTAACGAACAATTTCAGACCATCCAAAAAGTAAGAGCGCGTGAAAAAGGATACAACTCACATCTTATAAAAATATAATTCAAATTAAGCCTTTGGCATAGACTATAATAGACAAAGAAACATAATAGCGATTATATTACTAGCCAATCATCAATAAACTAACATTTGTTTTCTCAAAGGTACTATTTAATGTTAATACTCAAAAGAGATTATCATAACAGATTTAATTAGCTAATTGGTTTATCAACTTCATTTGAGAGTGCTAACTTGCCCAAATACTATTAGCTTTAATATCAAATGTAATGATCCGAGCTTGATAAATTAATTAGCCTATCAACTTCTCAAAATGTTTAAACTAAGTTGATAGTAATGTACTCATCCGACCTTTACAAGCTAATCTTAATTTTATCTATTTTCGATGACTTATAAAGGTTTGATAAGTATACTACTATCGACTTCAGCCTAAACATTTTAACCAGTAGTTTAGAGTTTTATTGTTTGAGCATGATGAGAGAACTCAATATTTTAACCAACTGACCTAATATTTTAACCAGTTGACCTAATAAAACACTAAACCCCACAGAACTGACCTAATATTTGAGCATGATGAGAAAACCCAAGTAGAAAAAGATCATCCGTGGATGGAACACTCATGACGATGTGAA